GGTGAGGTGGGTGGTAGGGAGAAGGGTCCAGGTAGGTGCTCCGGTGCCGTGAGTGCTCTCTTCCGTCTTCCCAGTGCAGAGGGTCCGTGCAGTGCTCCTGTGGGGCTGGTCGGTCACACGCTGCTGTCTGTGGGAGAAATGAGAGGGCGAGTTAGTGCTCAGTCTCATGGAGAACTCTCCCAGATGGCAGGGCTTGCGTGGCTTATGTGGCCGCCGCCTGATGAGCTGCAGCTGTGACCGATCAGCCTGTGATGAGGACGACCAGGTGTTCCTTGCTTGTTTCCAGGGCGATGCTGATGCAGCTTCGGGACGCTCATCACAACATTTACAAACAACACACCCTGAAACGTATAAAGAGGCTGAACAAAAACAAGCTGCCCAGTCTTCCTCTGCCCAGTCTCCCTCTGTCCGACAAAAGACGTTACAAGAGAGTTTTCAGGGAGGCAAACCCTATCCAGGTACAAAGAGCACAGACATTAGTTAACTTATTTACTGTACTTCCTGTCTCTTTCGTAACCATTAGGCAAATAAGAATAAATATAAAGTGCTTGTGTTTGTGTGTGCGTTTGTGTGGGGTGTCCTGTATTCCTTACGTTATAGGTACAAAACGTTACCACAAGTATAGTAATACCAATACATTTTGACTTCCTGAGGACATTTTAGGTCTCCATGAGGGAAGCAGCTTATAAATCATAAGGAATTATGTTTTTTGAAAATGTAAAAATGCAGTTTTCTGTGATGGGTAGGTTTAGGGGAATATGTTTGTACAGTATAAAAAGTATGGAATGTCCCCTTAATGGTAGGAATACCAGTATGTGTGTATATGTATATATACAGTGTGTATATACTGTTTGTGTATGTGTGTGTGTGTGTGTGTGTGTGTGTGGTGTGTAATGGAAAACCTTTATCCTTTTCAGATGATTCCCAAAGAGCGCGAGACATCACAAGGAGCCTAGCCAAAATGATTGTTACTGACTTGCAACCAGTATCAATGGTTGAGGATGCAGGTTTCTGTCATTTTATGAAGGTGGTTGATCCCCGATACAATATCCCGGGTAGGAAATCCTTGATGTGTAGTGAAATTCCAAAGCTCTACGAGCAAGTCAAAACCACACTGAAAGACTCCACAGAATCCGCAAGTAGTGTGGTTTTAACAAGTGACATGTGAACATCAAGAACAACCGAAGCATATTTGACTGTTTCAGGACATTTCATTGACCACAATTGGCAGATGCAGGCTTGCACTCTTGAGACCGTCCATGTAGCTGTACAACACAAAATATATCTGAGCTCCTCACAAAAATATCCAATGACTGGGGCATTACCAGCAAGGTCAATGCTGTTATTACTGATAACGGAGCTAATATGGTTTCAGCTGTGCGGAAAACCCAATGGAAACACATTCCATGTTTTTCACACACCCTTATTTTGGTTGTGAAAGACTCTATTAAGGCTGAGGCAAATTTTGAGTCCATCCTCGAGAAGTGTAGTGCTGTTGTTCGCTTCTTCCATCATAGCACCAAAGCATCTGACAAGCTTAAGGTACTGCAAACTCAGTTGCAACTGCCAGAGCACAAACTCATTCAAGCAGTAGAGACCTGGTGGAATTTGGTGTTCTACATGCTGGAGAGACTGACCGAGCAACGACAAGCTGTTATTACAGCACTTTGTCTTCTTGGGAGAAATACCTTGTGCTTGAATGATGACGAATGGTCCTGTATTAGCCAAGCCATTGAAGCCCTCAGGCCCTTTGAACAGGCCACTAAGGAAGTTTCAGTAGAGCAGTATGTAACCATTTCAAAAGTCATACCTCTGGTCTCTCTTCTCCAAAATGCAACTATGTCTGCCGGGCAGAAGGGTAACACTTTGGCTTTACAGCTTGCAATGCAGTGCAAACGGCGCTTTGAAAACATTGAGCACAACTATACTCTGGCCGCCAGTACCTTTTTGGACATTAGGTTCGAAAACATTGTGTTCTGTGATGCTGGAAATGTGGAAGTCATTAAATCACGGCTAATTAGTGAGATGCAAGCCCTGGGCAGACAGGCAACAACCAGTGAACCCTCTGCATCAACCAGCATGGGAACAGTCTTGACAGTGCCACCAGAGTCACCTGCTGCAAACACTGAAAGGAAAGGTGCCAACTGTTCTATATCCAAGGGAGGATTATGGCAGGAGTTTGACACACGTATATTGGCTTTTCAGGGGAACCGCACAGCCAGTACAGACGCATACATTGAAATGCGCAGATATATGGAAGAAAAGGTGATCCCAAGAAGTGAGGACCCTTTGCTATGGTGGAAAAAAAATGAGAACACATATTCACTGCTCAGCAAACTGGCAGTAATAATATATATATATATATATATATATATATATATATTTAAATTAATATTATTTTGAAAAATCACATACACATACACATTTAAAATTATAAGCAGTATCGGTATCGGTATCGTTAAAATTGTAACAAAAAGTATCGGTATCGCATGAAAAAAATTTGGTATCGCCCATCCCTACAGCCAACCATTGTGGGCGGAGCTAAATTGACGGCAAATTTGAATCTGCATCATCATGAGTGCGCACGCACACACACACACCACTAATGCTGCGCTCCAAAACAAAAATAAACTAATGCTGCGTTCCAGACAACTCGGATGTACCACACACCCGGAAGTAACGTCTGGATTTAAACATTACAGTAACATTAAAAGTAGGCTATTTGGTAATATAAAAAAATTAATGTTGAAATGGGAAATATCCTAAATCTGAGTTGTCTGGAACGCAACATAACCCTACCCTAAACCTACCATCACGGAAAACAAATAATTTACCAAATAGTGATTAAAATATAGCATTTATTTGCAAAAAAATGTTAAAAGAGTAGTAAAAGAAACAATGTATAATTTACAGTACATGTACTGTATGTACAAACTGTTACAGAGGAGGCTCCCGTACCGCCTCCTCCGCACCACCAGAGGGAACCGTCTCCTGAATATTAACCATTCCCATTTGGACTCCAATTCCCATCACCCCTCATACCTGGGACTGACTGCTCATCCACACCTGCACCTCATTTACACACACACATATAAGCCACTCACACACACAGACTGGCTGCGAAGTCTTGATTTGCCCTGGCTGTCATTTCTGAGCATTATACCCGTTTTTTTCTTTCTTTGTACTTGATCTTGGACCGTTTCCTGTTTATCTGATTGTTTCACCTGGACTGTGTTTGCTAGCTGCCTGCCCTGATCTCTCACCTGGTATTCGACTCTGTCTCTGTCCAAGCCCCTGCTGTTCTGTCTTGACCCTGACCCTGTGTTCTCTGACTATTCTAAATAAAAGCTGCAAATGGATCCAAACGCTTCTGACTTGTCACAACAGAAGACTTCGCCTAACAGCGATCCAGCAGCATTCGTGCAACTATCCACAGAGCTAACTGCACAGGCCACACAGCTCGCCATGCACCAACACCAGTTAAACCGGCTTACTACTTTAAACGAGGAGCTGGTCAAAGACCTGCAAGGACTCAGCATATCGTCACCCGAAGCCGCCTCTCAGCAGCTGCCTATCCGCAGTACAGGTGCATCTCAATAAATTAGAATGTCATGGAAAAGTTCATTTATTTCAGTAATTCAACTCAAATTGTGAAACTCGTGTATTAAATAAATTCAATGCACACAGACTGAAGTAGTTTAAGTCTTTGGTTCTTTTAATTGTGATGATTTTGGCTCACATTTAACAAAAACCCACCAATTCACTATCTCAACAAATTAGAATACTTCATAAGACCAATAAAAAAAAACATTTTTAGTGAATTGTTGGCCTTCTGGAAAGTATGTTCATTTACTGTACATGTACTCAATACTTGGTAGGGGCTCCTTTTGCTTTAATAAACAAAGTTGTGTTGAGCACACTCAGAACATGTGTTGAAAATAACACGTTGTGTTGTTTTAAACACATTTGTTTTAAGAGTGTAGTTCTTTTAAGTCGGCTGGGTGTGTCCTGGCCTTAATAACCACTTGTTACAACCGAGTTATGCTGAAGAGTATCTCTGAATGCTGAACATGTCGAAATTTGAAATAGTTGGGGTTTAGCAGCAGAAGACCACACCAGATGCCACTCCTGTCAGCTAAGAACAAGAAACTCGGGCTACAGTTTGCAGGACAATGTGCCATGTCACAAAGCTCAATTCACCCCAAACTGGTTTCTTGAACGTGACACTGAGTTCACTATAATCAAATGGCCTCCATGGTCACCAGATCCCAATCCGATATGTGGTGATGGAATGGAAGATTTGTATCATCGATGTGCAGGAACTGCATGATGCTATCATCTCATTATGGACCAAAGCCAAAGAATGAAGAATTAAAGCAGTTTCGAAGTGAAAAGGGGGTCCAACCCAGTACTAGCAATGTGTAAAGTGGCCAGTGGTGTACGAGATTTATTTTCTGTCAGGGCGCTGTTTCTGTTTTGTCCAACAGGTACTACTAGGAGAAGTACTGCACACGCACTTTTCATGCAGTTTCTCAATGCAGTTACATTTAGGTGATGCTCCGAAATAAATGAAAAGCATTATAAAAAGTACCATACGCATAACACAAGTTAACGGGCCAGCACAAAGCAGCTGAGCAGACTGCGGAAGTGTGATGTCACTCGCAGACTGACTTCTCAAACTTAAAGTAACGTCAACAAAAGAAAGAGGTAGGCTGATGTCGCACAGTTATATTAAAGCTGTAATGTAGTTTACAAAACTAAACTAAATATTGTCAGAAGCAGACATAGGCTATTTAATTTACATATTTTATGTAGCCTAACTTGTTTAAACTTGTTTAGATTTTGCTTTCTTTAGTTTGATGTAGTTAAAGGTTGTTTGTTTGATAGAAACCATTGTTTATATACAAGTCTACGATCCTGTGCAGTGTTAAATCTTCTTACATCTAAGAATAGTCAGATCTTGTTTCTCCTCCTCAGGCAGTGTTTGAATACACAACACAATGAACCGTCAAATAGATGATGTGATGGAGCTCTGCTCTGAGATATCGAAGATAGAGCAGATTAAAGTGGCTGTAGATAACTCAACCCAAGGAGCTGCTGCTGCTGGTGGAGGGGCTTTTTTAGGGGGGGTACTCGGAGGTCCACCTGGTATAGTCATTGGTATGTACGCTTATGTGTTTGATTTCTTGAACCTTCATTTTTAATGTGTTGTTTAAATATTAATACATTTCGAATTAACTATGTAGAAAATGTGGGAAATTCATCAGTAAAGCCAGTGTTTAGACAACTTAATATGATCACCTTTAAATTTCAAGTGAAGAAAACAACTTATTTTATTGATTAATAATTGTGGATGGTATATTTAGTGAACGTAGTGCATCTCTAGCAGTTTGTTTCTTTGTCCTACTTGATGTCCTATTATCAAATGCAGGTGGTGCTTTGGGAGGTGCCATGGGATGGTGGATGACTAGTGGCGAATTCCATCCTCTTCATCAGATCATAATGGAGATGCCTCCTCAGCAGAAGAGGAAACTGTACTCTGAGATCATGGAAGAACTGGGCAATCTGAAATGGGTTAACCTGGCTGAACTCATTTCTAAAGTGATGCGTAAATCCTCTCTAAAAAGGAAAATACTTACTACTGTAATGGATTTTTTCACAGAAGAGTTCGGAGTCGAAGTGAAGCATGGATAAAAATAGCATCCTAATTTCACCTGCTTAGTCTAAGCCAAGTTTGACTGAAGAGCTTTTTTAGTTTAGGTTTTGTTGCCGTTTTTGATAGATGTGTTTTACTTTCATTTTTCTGTATTTTAAACATGTGTAGCAGCCCTTCAGCGTCTAACAAAGGAGGCAGAGGGTTTTGACGGGTGCCTTCGATTTATTTACTCCGATGCAATAAACTTCATTGCTGAAGTATTCGTTGTCTCAGTTTTTTGTTGCAAATTCTTTCTATTGCATCACAATGCCATGTTTACCCAGTGATTGACTTCATAACAATAACATCACATCATCATGGCACTGGAACTACAAAGAAAACAAATAAAGAAACAAACATGAACAAAATAAAAATAAACTCAATAAACTTCACAATAAACAAACATTCACTGCATTAACAAAACATTATTCAAATTAATCAACATCATTCCAAAGAAATATGAAAAACAAACAAACCTCGCTCTGCTTGCCAAAGGGATACTAAAGTTAAAAGCTCGAATCATTCTTCCGAGTTCTACCTGTACCAAGAACAAACGTGGACTACTCTTGCTCTACTTCCCTTCACTTTAGTGGTGACGCCCAGTGTTCGAATTGTGTCAAAGCTCTTGGGGGGGGTCCCCCTAACCAGCCCAATCCCCCCCCCTTCACAATAAAAAAATAAAATAAAATAAAACTCTATATATATGATGCATATTTTTTGTCTTGTCCCCGTTATCATTGAGAAAACCTAATTCTAAGATAAAAGATTATTTTACGATGATCAGAGAATTAGGCGTACCAAACAATCACTAAGCAAAGAAGAATTAAATATCTAGCCTAGGGGTGTGCGATGTTGACAAAAAATGATATCTATATATTTTCTGGGATTTTATAGATAACGATCAATAATCAGACGATATTTTGCTGAGTGTGTTGCGCTGCAGGACTGCCATGGACAGCTGATTCTGTGTGGTGGTCAGTTCACAGCAGTGACAGAAATAATCTTTTCCAACAAGTTTAAAATGATTTTTACCCTTTATGGGCATTTTTATATTTGTAAAGCCATTTTTTTCCTCAATAAAGTCATCAATAAAGTCAATTACAATAATAAGTCATTTGGGGCTGTTACCAACAAATAAAACCATTATCAACAAAATTCATGCAATGCAGAGGAAACTGTCGGCTCCGTTACAGAAACACAGAAGCTGCATCTGAAGTGGCATTTAGATGCATATTTCACAACGAAGCACACTGCGTCTTCACGACATGGCGGCAGCAACAACACTACAGTGAGAATAAAAGTTACGCCTTCTTTCTTTGCTTGAACATTTGGGCGGCGTTATGCAAATCTTCCCACAGAGCGAGGTAGGTATGTGGTTGTGTGTTAGAACAAGCCATTTTAGGTAGGCGTGGTTGACTCTTAACTTTTATAAAGAATATCTCTTTGGATTTGAGACTTTAGTCTTTGCAACTTTACAGATCTTCTTTATGCACCAAGAGCTTGTAACACTCCAAAGAGAAAGGAAAAATTCAAAATCGCATCATATGACCCCTTTAACAATATATAAAAAGGTACTTTAAAATGTGAAATTAAAACCGCCAGTAGGTGGCAGCAAGTCACTGTTAATAAGTGAGTCATTACGATTGAACAGAATCATTTAAATGGTTGATTAATTCAGGAACAAAACACTGTCATGTTTTTCAGAGACGCAAAACAGTGCTGTGGCTTTGTTTGGAACCATTTTTGTTTGCGAAATAGAGCAAAAAATAGGCAATATGGTGTCTAAAACAAGTCTCTTAATATTAACTTCTTGTTCATTGAACTGTTGTATAAAATCAATATCACATTTATGAATTTTGCAAAAAAAAATGTCACTCTTCGTGTGATATTGATCAACTATATGAAATGATATAAATATATACATTTCTGCCCCCATATCTTGAATTTTGAGAGCATTCTAAATGCATTTTATTATACTGAATCATACAGTGAAAGAACACTCTAAATGAGCATTCAGTCTAGCTAGTGTTTAAGCACTCATAATTCCTCTTATAATCAATGAAGCTGTCTATACACGGTATGATAAATGAATCTCTAACTTACATCATACGTGCATCTGCACTTTGTTGCTTATGATGAGGGAATTCGCGAGTTTCGGTCTGAACAAAACGCTGGGGTTTCAGCAACGCCTCTGATTGGCTACTGCATTCCTAAGCTCAACAGAATCATGTGTGATTGGTTATAATGAGCAACGCTGTAAAAACGCGTAAAAATAAAATATGATGTAACATAAGCAGGTCTAAATTTAATACAGCAATTGAAACTTCATTTTAAGTTTTAAAGTTTTATTGAAAAGACAGGGGACCCCCCAAATATATGTTTTTGGGTGTTACGGGGGGGTCCCTTAATGCTTATGGGAGGTCCGGGACCCCCCCAGCCCCCCTCAAATCGAACACTGGTGACGCCAAGCAAAGCGAGTTAAAGGGGAAGGTCATTACACTCCAACCTAGAGGCGGACTTACCCATTAGGCAAAGGTAGGCAACCGCCTTGGGCCCACAAAAGCTAAGGTCCCCCTAAAATGCTTTTCATCGACGAGATGCGCATGAAGCGCGGACACACGAACGGTTGCTTTTTACGGTGTTTATCACCACGACAACTGTCTGCGTGTCCGAGTTGAACACATTTCTCGTGTATCCTGCTTGTAGCAAATGAAAATATGCATCTGAAGCTGTAATTAAATATTGAGCAACAGTGCATATTATATTTTTATTGTTTTAAATGCTGCTTACTTATTCAAGAATCCAAGCAGGCACGAGCACACATAGACATCAAAGGGGGCTTGAGCACCTGCCCTTTTTCTTCCTCGAAAGAAAGTGCCCTTTTCTTCTGGGGAGTTTTTTTTTTATTTTGTTTTTTTATAAATGAATATATGTACTGTATATATGTGTCCGTGTGTGTGTTTCTGTTTGCACATAGCTTTCCCTGTCAAACAAATAAAAAATCTAAATATCAGGTCGGGTCAGGAAATGTTGAGAAATGCTCCGCGTCTCCGCAGCACAGCAGTGTACACTCTAAAAAATGCTGGGTTGTTTTTTCAACCCAAATGCTGGGTTGAGCCTGCTGGGTAAGGATGTTGGGTTGATTTAACCCAATTTGGGTTGAAAATTGGTCTTGATCTATAACCAAGCCGTGCTGGGTTGGGAACACGGACGTGAAAGAGAGCATGCATGTCACGTTAACATCGGACGACACCAGTGCGAGAAGTCGCCATTTTCTCAGTGTCTTAAGATGGAAGCGAGTGAAAGACGTTTATGGTAAGTAAAGATTAAAAATGTAAAGTCATCATTAATTCGGGAGTATTTTGAGATTTCATGGAATGCGGAAATAGTCCGAAATGAGCTTATATTGAAAAATACGCGGACGCGGTTTTCACCTCAGAAATAGTCTTAACTTAATAGTCTTTTACTGAACGGAAGAGATACTTTTAATATAACATCAGTGAGTGTCTTATGTCATATTTACATAAGATTTTACAATATTTACACTTTTTGAGGTGTTAATAGAGGGTCATTAACAGATTTACATGTTAATTCGTTATCTTCTTTTTCGCGGCTAAACTGAATGTACGTCAGTTTCCTAAAGGAAACGGCATTATGTAATAAAGTCTAGCCTAATTATTTTGATGCTGATGAAGTGTTAATTTTTAAAAGTAATGTTTTGCATGTAATATTTCAGACTTGTTGAGCTTGTGTCTTCATTGTGCCCATGCCGGGAGTTAACGACACAGAAGCCAGCTTGTGTGAGGAGGAGGTGATTTTCTCAGCTTCTTCAGAAGAGAGGGAAATGCGGTTAAGGCAAGTAAAGTTCATAATTTCATGTTATACATTTTTTTTGACTAAGAGTAAAAGAATGTTTGTTTTATGTAGATGTTGAAAGCCAGATACATAGGAGAGCTTCATTCTTTTGAGATTGATGTGAGTTATTTTAAGAAATAAATGTTTCCATTGTCTCCTGCCTGTTTACTTCACATTTTGATGCAACAACAGTATGATGACTTGTTCACATTTTATTTAAACCACTGATGTCCATGTTTTTCATTGCAGAACTTAAACCAACTTTGGAGTTAAAGCTGCAGTCTGTAAGTTTTGCCTCTGTGTTGCCATCTCTGTTTAAAAACCTGCAATTGCAGCTGTTTGCAGAATTATCTTCCTTGCATGGGTTGTGCAGCGGCACGGCTCCAGCATAGATGATTCTAATGTTTTGAGGTGAATGTGTGGCAGTCAGTAACCGCACCGGTGTGGATATTTACTGTACTTCGCAATCACAGATTCTAGCCTACATCTTGGAATATATGACCCAAATAAGAATTTTCACCAGATATTGTCATCTGAACAAGTAAGTAACAAGTCTGCCAAGTTTGTTCTGACCAACTGAGGAAAACATCATTACAATAAATCGTGCTACCAATGGTGATTTAATCTAAAGATCGGTTAGCTCATATCACATCAAACCGTTATTATTGTTATACTTTATTCTCAAATTATTCATGTTAACAACATCAGCATTGCGTGACTATGAGTATAGTGTGTGTGTGTGTAGATTTCAATTTCTGTACAGTCTAATCTCTAATTGTCATACCATTAGAATTTCATATTAAGAAATTATTTTAACCCAAAAAGCTAATTATGCTCCCTTCAAACTGATTGTCTTTAAAATACAAATCTTGTGTAATCCCAGGCTATCTGTAATCAGAAGCACATTTAAAACTGGAATATAATTTAATTTCATTCACATGTGTTTCATAAAAACATAATAATTTCTAGATTACAATCCGCCATCAAAATGATACATTCTAGCTGCTGTGAAAAAAGGCTATGATCCACCACATGCAGGATCCTCACATGTGATAGCATACTAGCCGGGACAACTTCTTTATGTTTACAGAAGTGACTTAATGACGCAGCAGCATGGTCTAATTTCCCACGAAAACCTACCTGT